AGTTAAAATGTTCTCTCATACTCTGCTTTGTGTTGACTGGAAATTACTGATTCCTATTTTTATTTCTCAATTTAGAGTTCTGGATGCAATTGCAGGGGCACCTTCTAAAATTCATGAACATTTTATATTCATAGAAATTCAGATATCCTAACTTTCCCACAAAATTAACTGCCTGGAGTAAGTTTCAAAATCAAAGGAATTTTCTAATAACTGTGTCATTTTCTACGAGAAAGGTTAATCCTGTAAATGTAAGTAATCTATGAAAACTGCAGGATTCATGTTCATTGCACTCTAAAGTCTACAATGGTTTAGAAATCACTAAAATGCCTACCTTCCAGTAAAGGAAGCCCTGGGAGAGCAAAGCTGAGATTTCTAGAAAGCCTTAACAAAGGAGTTTGAAATACCAAAGGGGATCAAGTATTTTTCTCAAAATTACTACATATCACTTTTGTGATTTGGGATGAGTCATCTTAATATAATAAAATGAATTATTATATTTAGTATCTTATAAAGTATGGAAATATCACTATAGCTGCAAAATTTTTAAAAAGTGCCAAAAATAGTTTCCATCTTTTTTATACTATTTACAATAGATTTTATTGTAAAACAAGGATATTTACAAAAAGCAAACAAAGTTAGGATTAAAACAATCTCATTTTTTAATTGACTTATTTTAACATAGTTTGAGCCCCATATTTTTCAAATATTCCATGCAAATTTTTCCCTCTATTCTTCCTAATCACTGTAAGTATAATTAATGAACATAAATGGCATTAGGAAATATTGCTCTTTCAAAGGCTATTCCACTTAATTATTATACAGAGCATGCCCAGCAGTAGCTTTTGATGCCAGCTCAGTTTTAAGGCCTTCATGGACTGAATCCTTTTTATTACTAGTGGCCTTGCCCCTCATCCATGAAAATAAAATAAAATATAACAATGTACCATGTAAACTGGAACATTTTCTAAAAAATAATAAGTTGTAAATTTGCTTTTGAAATCACTTGACAAGAAGTCACATGCAGTTTACCATTGGTTATTATTTCCCAGCTGCCATTGTACATATTCAGGAATCATGAGAAGAGAGAAAGTACAGCCTAAAAATTATTTTCAAATAAAACAAAATATGAAGACTAAATTGACAATGAAGTTGTTATAATGTAAAATTTTATAGATATTTAATTAAACATGTTGATTATGTATTTCTGAAATTTGGGGATCTATAGATTTCTTAGAGTTTAGAATCTCAGATATTTAGTGGACCTTGGACACTGAATATAATCCCTAATCAAACACCATTTACAAGCCACCAAGGGGATCAGCGGCCATATAGCTGGTCTCTGGAGAAGACCTTGTTCCCAGATCACAGACCTTCTTTAAAATGTTCTCTACAAGAAAAATAAATTAATTAAAAACAAATAAAGTGTGGTCCACCGAGAATGATTATCTCTGAATTACATAGTGTTTTTTAAAAGTCATAATAATTTTTATTATGTTAAGAAGGTGTGCTTTTTTCCTTTCACTTAATTCAATTAAGCATTTATTTATTATGCGCTTTTAAAAATAATTCATTGACCTTTATCCATTCTAGAAAAGGCACACCATACAACTAATGGACCGACACAAACAATTCTTCTTGATAGATTAGATGCTAAATATGAGAACATCTTACGTATACTGCAAGCAGCCATTGGAATGCAGGGATAATTGTCAGGTCAAGGAGTTAGACTGGGATACTGGATGTGTGAGTTTCAAACGGAAATCCTTGCTCTCACAGACAAAAATGAGTTCCTGAAATAACGTTTCAAAAACTGTTCTATTAAAAAGGAGATATTGGTAATAAGTTCTTTTCTGAATATTTTTACCTTACCTTTTAAATTTAATTATATATTTATATTAGATCATATTTTCAAATACGTAGTTTCACTATTACCTTAAGGAAAGAATCAAAGTCTCCTGCACGTCATTATACATTGTATTCTCAAATAATTTATAATGAAATATCAAAAATCCCAGATATGAACAATAAAATTCCCTGTTTAGGAATAGAGAGATAGGAAAATTAATCTGAATTGGCAGCAATCTAAACCTAGAATGCTTTTGGCAGTAGTCATGTTACTTCAATTAGTTGAAGTAACACTAATGGCTTCAAGAAAAAATAATTATAGTTTCTGTGGGGTATTATTATATTACTAGTGGCCCAGTGCATGGATTCGTGCACATTGAAAGGAAAATAATTATAATATTTTAATATTACTATTTGCCCTTTCTCTGTAATCGAAGTGTCAGTTTCACCCTCTCACCTGTTCCACCATCCTGCCTGTGGGGTGATCGATCGGGGCCCGGCCCCCCAACCAGCTCCCTCAGCATCTGGGAGCCAAGCAGCAGACCTGCCTCCCCACCCCCACCGCTGCTGCTGGTCGGCGTCTGCGGAGCGATTGACAAGGTGATTGGGCCCCCGCTTGCACCTGTTTTGGCCTGGCACCGCCGGCTCACCTGCTCCACCATCGTGCTATGGTCCGGCTCTCATCTGGGCCCATCAGGGCCGGCAGCGCCTCCACTGCCGCCCACTGCCAGCACCGTGATGCCAATACCTGCCATGTTCTGCACCAACCCCTGGTGGTCAGTGCACATCATAGCAAGTGGTTGAACTCCCAGTCGAGACAATTTGCATATTAGACTTTTATTATATAGGATATTATTTTTGAATGGATATGGGGCAAAGCCACTGATGATTAGAGAGCAGAGCACATGAAGGATTTAAAATTGTGCTGATATCAAATGCCACCACTGAGCTCTTGCAAAAGTTGCTTTATGAAATAGGTGACTCACTTACAGTTGGGAGATTATATAAAAACTAGGAGCTCAGCGTGCGAAATTATGCGGCCCGCCCACCCACCTGCCGGCCTGCCTAAACACCTGAACCTCCGCATGCAGAGCTCCAGTGACCTGGCCCAGCCCCCTGACCCCTCTGGCCTTCTCTGGCTGCTTCAAGCCCCGCCCTCAGTCCCTCAAGTCGCTTCGGGCTAGTCCTGCCTTCTCCGGGCACCTCCCCGCTTCTGCCCCATCTCTGGAGCAATGCAGCAGCTCAGACCCATCATGGCGCCAGAGGAGAGCACGGAAACCTCCCGGCTGCTGAACTGTGCTCCTTCCCCAGGCAGGTGAGCAGCAGGGCGCTCTGAGTGCGAGCAGCGGGTGGCAAAGGACTGGTGAGGGGGGCGCTACGGGCTCTCACCCCCACCCTCCCAGGCACGGGCCTCCTCCGGGCGCCTCCCTGCTTCCACCCCATCTTCAGGAGCAATGCCCCACCCGCCGCTCACGCGCAGACAGCCTCCTCCTTAGGGGTTGTGACTGTGACACCCTTAGGACCAATTAGCATATTACCTCTTTATATATATATTTAGATGTACACTGCTGCAGTGCTTCACAGGCTTCAAACCATGTGCTTCCCTAAGCAAGCTAAACATACACTGACAGTCTTGTTTAGATTAATTCTTTAGCAAACCCTCCTGCTACTCACAACATTTTCCCCCATAAAGGTCAAATTTCAACTAGCCCTATGTTTATATGCATTCTGATTCAGAAAAATATGACAACAATTAGTATATTTAACATTTAACTTTTCCATTTACCAAAAAGATGTTTTAAAATTTCAACTTTTAATAAAAGTGATATAGTGCTTACATGTTTACTGATAACATAAGAATCTGAAAAGAACTACATCAGAATGTGTATCTTCTTTATTAGTGTTTTGTAAAATTAAAGTATTTCTACATGAAGAAATACATTTTTTAAATTACTATTTTTAATTTACTTTTCACAGAATTTAAAATGTTTTATTAACCTGAGACAATCTGCTACCAATATGAGAATGCCAAGTAAAAAAAATTATTCCAAATAATGGGAAAACCTGTTAGAAGACTTGACATGCAATGTTCTTTATTTATAGCAGCTCATTCTACTTAAACCATATCATTAAATTTTACTAAACCATTCAGTAAAATTCCAAAATCAGAGGCGCTAAAGTATGTTGAATAGTGTCAGTTATTAAAATGACACATGCTGCCCTAGTCAGGCTGCTCAGGTGGTTGGAGTATCGTCCTGCAACCCAAAAGGTGGTGGGCTCAAATCTTGCTCAGAGCCCATGCCTTGGCTGCAGGTTCAATCCTGGTCAGGGAGTGAGTGGGAGGCAACCAATCTCTCTCTCTCTCTCTCTCAAACAAAACAAAACATATTCTCGGTGGGGATTTAAAAAATCGTTTTTAAAAAAAGAAAAGATAATGACACATTTTGTGTGTCTCCCAGTTTAGTCAACTTCTACTTCAGCTTCCATCAGCAAAGTAATTTTAAAGTATTGATTTAATCAAGGCACATTTAAATATTTTCAGATTTTAGCACTTTGTCTATCAAATGAACAATGACAAAAAATGTTAGCAGCAAATTATACTTGATGAGTCAGGAATTTTATATTATGCTAGTGTTTGACTCAGTAATTACACTTTTAGAAAACTATTCAATACTATAGTAATTATTAGAAAGGGAGAAAAGGCAACACAAAGATGTTCATTCAGAATTATTTATGAACATAACCATTAAAAAATGACTAAGAAGCTTAGAATGGGGGTAAAAATTTTTAAGAAGCAGAGAAAAAGTTAAAATGCTCATGAAACAGAGTTAAGAAAAAACAGTGATACACAAGAATAAACCAAATTGGTTCAACAACCTACAATGTTTGTCAAAAAGAGGAAAGTCATATATATATATATATATATATATAACAATTTTTAGATACAATTTTTAAAAATTGTATCTAAATTTGTTCTAATTTATGGAACTTACATGTATAAATTATATGTATTGGCACTGTGTATTTTCAAACAGTATTTAAGCTCATTCTGTAACCTCCCCACTAATAACATCATTCATTGCAAGCATTTCATTTTATTAAAATTATATTTCAATTCTTGCTCTTTTAAATAGTAGTATTACAATTTTACTTACTTCACCACAATATTTCCTAAACACCGAGCCTTCAGTTTTTGCATGTTGTCATCCAAAATCATAACTGCAAAATAAAATACAAATAAATAAATACTTTGAGCCTTAGCCGGTTTGGCTCAGTGGATAGAGCGTCAGTGTGGACTGAAGGGTCCCAGGTTCGATTCCGGCCAAGGGCACATGCCCGGGTTGTGGGCTTGGTCCCCAGTAGGGGGCGTGCAGGAGGCAGCCGATCAATGACTCTCATCATTGATGTCTCTCTCTCTCTCTCTCCCTCTTCCTCCCTCTCTGAAATCAATAAAGAAATATAGTTTTAAAATAAATACATACATACATACATACATACTTTGACTAAAAATGCATGACCTTAAAGCATAAATGTTTCCCTATTTTCTATATTCAACACTCAAAACTGTAGCTTAAAAAAGGCATCTTTTAATTCCTGAGATCATTAATACATACAAGTAAGCTAAAACGTCTCACAAAAAATGTAGAATACATGCTTTTGATTAATTCGTTAGCAAGCCCTCCTGCTACCCACCACATTTTTCCCCATACAAGTCAGCACTGAGTTGCTGACAAAATCATGAATTTGCCTTAGAATCTTCCATAAAGACATTATATTGCAAACATACTAGTAATTTCATAATCTATGTTCATAGCCATTTAAACATATCCTTCTATTCTATAAAAAAACATTAAATATATGTTCAGCTTTTCAAAAATTAAAGGAAACAAGTAAAGTTTTAAAATATACCAAAAAATATTTCAAGCACTAACAATAAGTACTTAAAAGCCTGGAAACCCTATTTTGCTGATGTAAGGCATCATATCTACTTACAAGCCTTACAGGTCAATTTAACCTTCCCAAATATTATCCCAGTGCTTTCTGTGTTATACTGTTAAAATCCTGAGTGATTTTAGATCAAAGCTTTATCCACTTTCAGTAACCTTAGTAGAACCTGGAAATGAGGATATAGCATCATGTTTTAAGCTTTAAGAGATTCTTTATGGAGCTTCATCCAGCCAGGTTATTCTACTGAAAGAAGCTATGAGGAAAAAAGGACATTATCCCCAGAAAAAATTAATCACTCCCTTCTTTGTGTGCCCAGAGCACTTTGTTTTAAAATTCCATTCTGACAATTATTAGCAGGGTAGCTATCTGTCTCTCACTAGATTGTGAGCTCATTAAGGGTAGAGGCCAAGCCTAATTCATCTTTGTTTCCCGGAATCCCAGTACAGTGGCCAGTTTATTGTGTGTCCCTGAGCACATTCTATTACCCCTTCAATTTCCCTATCTAAAAAGTGAGTGTAATTCCTTTCTCATAGTGTTGGTATAAGAATTACTTGGGGGGAAAAAAATAAAGTGACATGCTTGTATAAGGTATTCAATGAATGTGTATATTATATTGAATGTTTTTGATACACACACCAAAAAAATGGTATTCTTTCCTTTCTCAAGAGAATGCTTTTTATTCTAATATTGAATGTTACATTATTCTTTTGAATCTCTGAAAAAACACAAAACATGTAAAGATCATGAGTCATAAAGTCACTATTTCCTTGGTTATAAATATTTTAGTTCTAATGTTTAACCTGTAATGGCTTTCAGACAATAAAAAATGTCTGTACTGAAATTCCATGAGGCATCAAAGCTTAACTCGTCCTTACAACTGGATATAAAAATGGCACTGAAACTACTGACGGGAAATGTGTTCAACATCTCCCACATCTTCAGTGCCTAAAAATGGCTCAGCACTAAAGCAATTTTTCTGACAAAGGGAGTTGGGATGACAGAACTGTTTGAAGGGAGGATTTCACTAAAACTGGATTTGCCTTTCCAAGCCTGGAGATATCACTGACTTCACAGAATACCTATTTCTGCCCTTTAAAAGAAATCTTAAGTGTCTTTTTATAAATATACTTGCTGGGTTAAACCAAATGATCCACATTACCTTAACTAGTCATTGTCCTAGGAGTAAAATACAGTGTTTTTAGGTTGGAGAAGCAAAAGACAAATCTCTCAATTTTATAATTTACATGCAAATAGAAACTATATGCAGGAATCATACTTGGTCCCAGAAAGCTTGGTTTTCCTCATAAATCTATTAAGCTAAATCGTGTGACCTTATGCAAATACCAACTTGTGCGCCTCATTTTCCTTGTCTGTGAAATGAACGGATGAGTCTACATCGAGTCAGTCCACCTGGCTGCTCCTAGATATCTGTACCGTTCCCAGCTTTGACTTAGTGCAGACCTTCCACAGGCGGTCGCTGTGCTAATGCTTCATTGTTACATCTCAGCACAGCAGCCCTCTGAAGCAGGTGGAATAAGGAAATGGAAGGCCTGAAAAGTTAGATGATGTCCCTAGTTATGCAATTAGGGAATGGAGCCCAAGGGAATGTATTGAACTATTATAATCACTACCAACAATTTAACAACAAATACTGAAGGATATTGTGGATGAAAGATTTTTATATTTAGAGTCCTTATTCTTTAAAAACAAAAATGCATTATTAGCCAGAAGGTTCAAAAGCCTTATCATCATTACTAAATTTTAAAAAAGTAGCATAATGAAAAAAAAAAACCTGCAGCTTTTATAACAAAAATAAGTAAAACACAATGATTTGCATTGTCTTCAGGAGCTAACGAGCTATATTACCTTCGGGAAGTTTTTAATCTTTCTGGGCATCAGTTAGTTCATCTCTAAAATGGTACTAATATCTCTGAATTAAATATACTTCAGCATGAAATAAAATGATGTATATGAAGTCCTGGGTACCTAGCAGGTTTCATACACTGTAATTTCACATCCTTATATTTTTTAATTTAAAACTTATTTTTCAATTACAGTTTATATTCAATATTATTTTTATTAGTTTCAGGTGTACAGCATAGTGGTTAGACAATCATATACTTTACAAAGTGTTCCCCTGATATTCCTAATACCCACCTGGCATCATACATAGTCATCAGAATATTATTGACTATCTTCCCTATGCTGTACTTTACATCCCCATGAATATTTTATAACAACCAATTTGTACATTTTAATCCCTTCACCTTTTTCACCCAGTCGCCCAACCCACCTCCCTTCTGGCAATTATCAGTCTATTCTTTGTATCACATCCATATCCTCAACAGCCTTATAAATGATATTATTTTCTTGGTTAAAATGCCATTTAGAACATGTTAGTGGAAGCCTATAATCGTACTTTTTATCAAATTGGCTCAATAAAAATTAAGGCATTCCTTATTAATACCAGTATTCATTCAAATACTTATTAAGCACCTAGCATATTTCATGCAATCTGATTCACACTATACCAAATTAACCTCACATATTTTTAAAAATCAGGGTCATTTCTCACCATTGTATCCTGGAACACATTTTCCTGCTTGCCCTGGAGGAGGTGTTTTAGAATTGCCTAATCCAATGCAGGACGCTGTAATGGGAGATCCAGTTTCTGGGAAAAGAAATATTTATTGTTTAATGTTTCAACTTGAGATCATGATTTCTTCAGTGTGTTCTCTGTCCTTCTCCACCAAGTTTGTCACAGAATTTAAATGCATGAGAAGAAGATCAATAGTGCCACTGCATTATTTAAAAATGAAAAATATCCAGTAAGGTATGCTATATCGACATTTTAAAAACTTGAGGACCCATAGAATAACACATATAATCGTGCTTTTTTCAGAGAAAAAAAAGTCCTCACTAGTGTTCTTGGCTGTGAATGGCAGGCGCCAAGAATGGAGAATTATGTGACCGGGAGAGGTTTACAACACATGTTATAAGTGAAAAGATCTCTAGAAAAGATGCTCTTAACTCATCTAGAGTCATTTTCTCCTTTTATCATGGTAATGTGCAAAATATTTCTGTTATTGATAGCTTCGTCTCTGGAATAAGAAACCCAACCATTTTTAAAACTATATGAACAAGATCACACTCTAGTATTTTTGAGAACTGCCTTTGCCTGGAGACACTGGCCTCGGAAGCTACATTTACCAATGCTTTATCAAAGTGCTCTGAGTCTGTTTTTCCCGGGCTTCTAGAAGGCCCAAAACATAGAAAGAAAGATATTTACACTGTGCTGCTTATTTCAGCAAAACCAGAGACAATTAGCCTGCATTGACAAGCAAGAATGTTAAATTTCTTTGTCTCCAATTGTAACACTCAGAAAAATAGCAGCTATTACATTATAACTCAGTTCTGAAAGTGATTCGTTTTATGAAAGAGTTCATTTGTTACTATTAGTAAATACAAGTTTAAACTTAACAGAATCTTTTAGGTATGAGTTTTGTATCTGTGAAGGGCAGGATAAGAGGGTATTGATAGCGAAAATTTTCAGAGCTACTCGCTTAACATTGCACACATACATACACCCAAGGGACTCGTTGCCAACTCAATCAGATCCAAAGTAATCTAAAGTATTAAAAATATCCATCTTCCTAAGTACTCAGAATGTACTCCTTCCAGTACGGGCCCTACCGTAATTTATCACACAGTTTTATATCACTTTAGAGTGATGGGAAGAATTTATTACTCTTCTTTACTTTCCAGCATCATTCAGTTTATTATTCACAGTTTACGGATGGTGGCTCAGCTGGCATCAATAACGGAAGATGGACTCTTGTATTAGAACACAGTCCCTAAGTCACAGCCCGGTGCTTACGGTGCGAGGCCATATGGCCACTGCGGGGGAGGAGCAGCAAGTACCCAGAGCAGACATTTTTGATGTTTAACAAAAGAATTCTCAAATATTTTCTCATCGCAAGACAGAAAATGAGGATGTATCTTATGAAATCGAATTCATCCGCCATGCAGTCTCCTGGCCATTCTTCCTCCAGCACGGTCAAAGCAGGGGAGGAGATCCACAGGTTTAGAAGGGTCGACAGCATTTTCCCCTTTGCTTTTTAACAACTAAGTGCTCACCTCAGCTGTCCCCCAAAACTGATGGGGGAGACAACGGCAGCAGTGATGACAGGAAGCAGCCCCGTGGAGTGAGGCTCTTAAAGGTAGGTGCACAGACAGAGCAGGTGACATAGGAAACAGAGATGCCGGGGCACATTAGGAAAGGAGATATCCCCTTCAAATGCTACTGTTCCCCTCCCACCCTTGTGGGAAGCAGCTGCTAACGTAAATCTGCTATTTTAAATCTTGCCCAGCTGGCATGGCTCAGTGGTTGAGTGTCCACCTACGAACCAGGAGGTCACAGTTTGATTCCAGATCAGGCCACATGCCCAGGTTGTGAGCTCGATCCCCAGTGTGGGACGTGCAGGAGGCACCAGATAATGATTCTCTCTCATTATTCATTGATGTTTCTAGCTCTCTCCTTCTCCCTCCCTCTCTGAAATCAATAAAAAAAAATATTTTTAAAAGATAATAAAAATAAAGGAGATCTTATCAAGTTTAGTTTATCAACAGGGGTACTCCAATCATCTGAGTTTCAAACTCACCGCATTTCTTAACAACATAAGGTTTCTCAGCAACTTGTCAACAGATGGCTGACGACCCTACACAGTACCTTCTAATGGCTCTAGCTCCTGCCATCTAAAAGAAAAACAAAGAACCACTACATTCAAACTCTACCTGCGCCCCACTTCAACTCATCTTACTGTGGATTCTTTTAAAAGACACCAGCACTCTGCTCTTCCTGTAAGATCAGGGAGTGTGGGGAGACGGGGTGAGAATACAACCTCGTCTTTCTAAGGAAGGACATAAGAAAGGATTAGTGAAGCACTGTCGATACTGACTGCCTAAATAAGCTAACATTACACATACTTCCTGAGATTTTTAAGCATCTTTGTATAGTGATTACATATTTATAACCTTTTAACCTTCAGCTGTTTTGTTATAGTTCATAGTTGTAAGACGACTATGAAAAGCATATCCTTAAATGATTATTTTCAATGAATTTTAAAGGCAGTGAAAAGGATTATCCAGTCAGTTACTTAAACTATAGGATATTACTTTATACCTTGAACATTAGCAATTTGAGTACCTCATTGACCTTATTGTGATAGTCATTTAGGGGATGAGAAAGAAAGAAAAAACACACGGATGGTAGTTACATGAAAAGGATGCAATTGGACAAAGTGCCAGTTCCTAGGACTCTAAGCGTAATAAGGAGTCATTCTTAGGACAAAAGTGAGATTAGAAAGACCATAATGATTGCTACAGAAACTTTATATCTCTCACTTTCCTGAGGCCCCAAAACTAAACGGCCTGTAGGGCCAGCACGCACACGTGTGGGCACAGGCTTCATAACCACCCGGCTCTCAGGCTGGTGCATGTGCAGAATAGGCTGTGGGTAGGGAAAGCCCCCAGGCTGCTGCAGCCCTTAACCAAACTCCAAGGGCCTCCTCCAGCCCCATTCTAAAGATGCTCTAAAAACCTCTGCTTCGCACCATCCAGGCTACAATGAATAGGTGAGCAGTTATCCAGGGAGACAGGAAATCCAGGCGTGACATTGTGACAGAGAAACAGCTACATTAAACAATACAGATCATTTTCTTTGAAGAAGTGAACACAGTACTACCTTTGGAGAAATCTTTTCAAAGACCCCTAATTTTAGAAACACACGATGCTTAGCAATTCAACAGCACAATTTCTTTAGGTAAGAGACAACCAGGAAGAAGATGGCAGGGAATTGAAGAATGTGAAGAATAAGTTACCTTGGCACATTTATATTCATACTGCATTAGAAGCTAATACAGACACTTCCCTTTTTTGTATGTGTCTTTACTGCCTCACTCTACTGCATTAGTGAGTTGTTACCTAAATGAATTCTCCTTAACACTTGTCACTCTAAAGCAGGGGTGGGGAACGTCCAGCCAGTGGGCCATATAAGGCCCAAGAAATCATTTTAGGGTTGAGCTAATTAAATATTTGACCAAATATAGCAGGCTAATTTTTAAATTGATAATTTTACATGGCTCATAAATGATGTTATAAATATCCAATTGGCCCTTGGCAAAAAAAGGTTCCCCATCCCTGCTCTAAAGGAAGGAAAGAGAAGTAACATACATTATATTTTCAAAGAGAAACTATGCTGTGTACCATGCTAATTTTTGTGTGTTTACATATGTGTGTATACATGCAAAAACATACTGAGGCTTACCAAGAAAATTTACCCTGGTTTGCATAGTTCTTTCAGAGAAGGAGAAGAATGAAATAGACAAGGTACCTCATGGGGTTCTCTGAAGAGAATTAGAAGGGAAGAGAAATCACCCACATTGTGTGTCAGAGGAACAAAAATCCTTGTGACAGAGAGTGAACCCAGTCTCTCACATTCGCAAATGGAAGCAATGGTGGTATATATCACTTAATAGCAAATATTTATTGAGCAACTATTATAGGTTAGGTTCTGTCCTTAGAACTGGGGATGCATCAATAAACAAAAGCAGGGGTCATAATCCCTAGTCTCATGGAGCTTATATTCTAGTTGGGAAGACAAAAAAGAAAAACCTATAAAAGTGAAACATAAGGCCTGTTAAAGAGTGATACGCATTCAGAATATGAAGAAAGCATAGGCAGGGGATGAGACATAATGGAGAGATACTGCAAGTTTAGATTGGGCAGCCAGGAAAAACCTCCCTGAGAAGGTGACATTTGAGTAAAGACCAAAAGAACAATAAGGACTTGTGTCATTTACATATCTAGGGTCAAAGAATCCAAGTGGAAAGAGCCAGAAGTGCAAAGGTCCTGAGATAGGTTTATTCCTAGAAGGTTGGAGAAGCAGTAAGGCAGCCAGTGTGATTGAGGCAGAATAAATGAGTAAAGTATTAATGAAAAAGAAGCTCAGAGAGGTAATGAGGAGACAGATCATAAAGATGACTTCAGCCTGGCCAGCGTGGCTCAGTGGTTGAACCAGGAGGTCACAGTTCAATTCTTAGTCAGGGCACATGCCCGGCTTGCAGGCTCAGTCCTCAGTAAGGGGTGTGCAGGAGGCAACTGATCAATGATTCTCTTTCACCTTCGATGTTTTTCTCCCTCCCTCTCCCTTCCTCTCTGAAATCAATACAAATATGTTCAAAACAAAAACAACTACTTCAAAGTCCTTGTAAGGCTTTAAGCTTTAAGTCTGGGTAATGCTGCAAGCTAATGAGGGCGTTTGAACAAAGATGCTAATGAATCACAACAATGCAAATAAGATTTACTTACACATTTGCACATCATTTAGGTTTTATTAACAAGTTTATTTTATTTGGGGATTTGGAGAGATGCATGGGAAGAAGTACATGGACAGACATAAGCTATATGAGACTAGCTGGTTAATGGTAGAGATTCCTGTGGCTTCCTCAACATCGGGAACCAATTCACAGAAGAATTCACTGCTAAGGCCTAGCTGCATGGTATATGGGAAACAGCCCATACAAACCAAAGATGATAACTTTTGTTGTTGTTGTTAATCCTCACCCGAGGATATGTTTCCATTGATTTTTAGAGAGAGTCGAAGGGAGGGGA